TTGGTATTGATACATGAATGAGTGGTTAATTACCTACTTTTAAATGTTGATAACTGTAATTTTAGTCTCTTCATGCTTTAATGGTATGTCAGTGTCACAGTTCTTTTGCAGGCTTGAGAAGGTGTTTTGGTTGGGCGTTGCCGAATGGGGTGGCAAGCAGAGGAGAAGTGGTTTTCCCAGATATCACAGGAGTGATACTGAACAAATGCTTTCCATGAGTATGAATTTCTCATGGAACTCCAGAAAATGTGTTTACTGTTTACCTACAGTTTTTAATTGTTGTAATAATCTAATGGATATATGTTTTGATTGAGAGCACTCAGGCTCTGCCAAGAAGTATTGTTACAAAGAGGTAGTACCTCCCAAAAAGCCCTGGGAAAAGCCCTCTGAATCAGAGAGGAATTGTTTTGGTGGAGGAATACATTACAGAGTCTCATAGCAAGATCCAGCCCCTTTACGTCCTTCCTGTGTGCCTTGCTAGGAGAGGAGGAGGAGGATGGAGCTGGACTCACTCCTACTTTTGTTGCTGTCTGAGTTCATTTGTCTGCAGAGGAAAGATCTGTTTGGGTAGTTCCTGCTACAACCTGCTCCCTGGGCTGGGCTGGGCTTGCCTGAGGGAGCCAGGAAATAAATGCCTCTGCAGGGACTGGATATAACGGAAACATATAAATTATCCCTCAGATCTGAGCTAGTAAAACAATCCCTTCTCTTAAAGGGCTAATGTATAGCTTCTAGGTTGCTGCGTAGGTGAGCCTATTTCGCATGCACAAAGAAGCAGATAGAGATCAAGTTCGTACATGTTTCTGAAGCTCTGTTTCACATTTCTGAGTTTTACCAATTGCTACAGAACATAATAATCCAAAATAGAATAGACTACACTATTTCAGTTGGAAGAGACTTAGAACGATCATCTAGCCCAACTGCATGACCAATTCAGGGCTGACCAAAAGTTAAAGCATGTTATTAAGGGCATTGTCCAAATGCCTCTTAAACACTGACAGGCTTAGGGCATCAACTACCTCTTTAGGAAGCTTGTTCCAGTGTTTGACCAAAGTAGTTGTGGCACTGAAATTTTGTTTTATTTACAATATATATATTTTTTCAACACTTTGTATATTATTCTTTCCAGGCTGTTCTTATATGGCCTAGGACACCCTAAGTGGTGGGTTTTGCTTTGGGTTTTTTTTCCTTATAATAAAGTCCTCTGCATCAGTCTCTTCCCAAGACCTTCATGTGACAAATGCTAGGGTGTATCATTCTTGGGAGAAATTTCTGGCCCAAAGCTCTTCAATGTGTTGAGCAAAGTTGTGGAGAACATGTACAGTCATTACTAGTAAGACTGGCAGCTCTCAATAAACCAGCATATTGCCTGTGTGCAGAGCTGCTTAGCATGGTGAAGTCAATGCCCCTGAGTGACCTGCATCTAAATGCAGCTAAAGGCAAGGTCATACATCCAAAAACAGAGTGCAAAGAATTAAATAAGCTGGCAGACCTTTTCCTCATTTCCTCTTCCTCCTTCTTCACCCTGGAAGGCTGCATTTTGGTCTGGCTTGGAAGCTGGATGAATCCTTTTGCCTTTTCCAGCTGCAGAGTCTGGAGGAAGTTCACAGCATCCATCACTTTCTCCAAGTATTTTTCTACCTGTGAGTTTTCTAGAATGGACTGCAGGTGATCTTTCTTTGAAGAAAAAAAAATAGTTAAATAGTTCTGGTAACAAAGTTGGCTTCACACAGAGGAAGCTTTAACAGCGTGCTGAGTACAGTGCTGTATTACTGCACCTTGTTTCACAGCTGTGAAAAAGGATAGGAAAGCACCCTTGATGTGTGCATAGATGTACACAGACACGCCTCTTGTGGCAGCAATAAAAGCATCCTCAGAGTTCAGTGGTATTTTTGTTTTCACATATGTAATGGAGGGAAGTGCAAGTGATTTTAACACTGGGAAAGACTTATCTGCCAAATAAATGTATTTTGCCAGCAAATGGATTGTGGGTGCATCTCTCCCCATCAGTCACATCTGTTTGTGATACTGTTTAGCTGCATTACAGGATCTTTGTTTTAATTACTGCATATGTATATATAAGGATGTAGGTTATATGTATGCTACATACGCAACTTATCTAATAATTATATTAACTGTACAAAAACTTCATAGAAATCTAAAAGAAGATTTTGCTCATGTAGGGAAGGATTGATCGCACATCGTATGAGGTTCTTCCTTCTGTCCTGTGACTGCATTTCCTTAGCAGCATATGGATCTCGAATGCTTTTGTTGGAAGTATCACTTTACATTCAGAACTGGCATTAAAGAGATGTAATTCAGCACTAAAGGAAGACTGTGTTGAAGGAAGAAATGCTTAAACACAGGCGAAGATAGGTTCTGCCATGTGTAGATCTGAAGCCAGGGTGAAGGCTGTAGCTCAGAGGAGAAGATGAAGGGAGACAGAAGGGCTGATGTGTTATGGAAAAAGAGCTGTCCTGTGAGAGGGCAGGCAGCAGGGTGGCTGCCACAGGGCATGGCTGCGCAAGGCAAGTGTTGTGCAAAGTAGTGGAGGGACAGCAAGTGATGAATGTAGGGGTGAACTCCAGCAGTAGTAGGCTGCAATTGTGAAAGATTTTCAGGAGATGAGAAGGGAAGATGACATAACTGCACTAAGGGTATTTTGGAGAGGAGTAGGTGGGAAGAAAAATGATAGTAGAGCAGAAGGCATTTGTGGTGGACTGAACAGCAAACTGATGCATGTTTTAGTAGTGACAGCAAGGATGAAGATGATGGAATTGAGCAACATGAAATGAGGACATCTGAAAATAGAATGGAAATGATGACAGGAGCTTGACCTTTGAGAAATAACCTTTTCTGATGCCAGGTGTGGTAACCATACAGCATAAAAAAAGGTGTAGATTTTTTGTAGTGTGAAAGTTACTTTCTCTGTTATCTTTGACTCCTTTCTAGTAATACAGGGTTTAACCCTCTTTTTGGATCACATGGGATTTTCAAAATGAATCGCTTAATTGCTTGGCCACGTACAAGCTAGCTTCGTTCTGTACAATCTTTGGTTAAATTACCAAATTTCTTCTTTTGGAAGGTTGAAAGGAGTGGATTATGAAAAGCTTTTCTTTTATCTTATGTTACATGAGCTTTCCACTCTGTCTTTTTCCCCTCTTTTTTCCTTAACCCATTGTAAGTCAAGGAGTTAAGAAATTCTCCCTCATGCCTGTATGTTATGCAGTCTGATCAGTTCAAGACGTTCCTCTGTCCTTACTGATTCTAAGTTAACATTTAAAAAAAAGGAGCGGTATACAATTTGAGCTTGATTTTCCCATCTCCCCCTAAAGTTAGGCTTAAGAAATCATAAATATTACTATAAAAATTCTCCCTTGCTTCACATAGTTAGTGCATAGAAAACACAAAAGTTGTTGGACTGTGTAGTCCCCTCAGTCTTAGGGGTCCAGAGGATATAGAGGTGGTTTGGGAGTTGTGGCCACAAGTGCCTGTGTGGAAGAAATTCTGCTGCATTTCTGTGTACCTCGCTGTTGTCAGTTAGGCACCCATGAGAGCAGACTGTGGAATGTCTTCAGAGTCTTACCCTGTTCTGATTTCCCCCAAATAGCCATCCATATTTGTACGGAACAGATGGAAACGGCTATTCACAACTAATATAGAAAGATTAAAAAAATTTAAATATTCGGGATATAACAATGCAAATCCCAAAGAGAAATAGGAGAAAACACTTGGCAGTTATAATAAAACTTTAGGCTGCTAAAAAGAGGTGCATTATCTGTTTCTGGGGAAGTCAGGCATGTTTACTCTTGATACTGGACTCCTAATGTTGTTTACATCTGTCCTTACAGGAACAAACCTATTTAAGGAAGATTTTGTGCCTGAAACTAGCCTTTGCCTGTTTACCCATAGTTCAAAAGACCTGCCTGTATTTAAGAGGAAAACAAATGCAGGATCTGCATTGTTACAAGTGCCCAGAAAGATGTCCTTGGGGAATGAAGGCGAAGATGCTATGTGTAGGGGGCAGCAAGACTCTCACTGCAGTAAAATGTATGTTTGCCATATAATGAACAGGGAAGTAGCCGAATGCTTTTCAGGGTGGTCAGGGGCATAACTGCAGTTTTCAACAACAGAAATTTCTGTGCTACTGAGTTGTGCTTTGGTTTTTACCAGACTTGTTTATGGAGCTGGTGGAGTCAGTGCTGTGGTAACTGTTTTGAACTGAGGCAAGGCAGGCATTGCTTGGACGCGTGAATGGCTGAATCTTCTTTAGTGTGTTTTCCAGAAAACTCCATTTCTGCCAGATGTTGGGGCAGTTCTGTCTTAGAACAACTGCGGCAGCTGTTTGGAGCACGGTGGAGCACACTGTCCTCCTTTCCAAGAAAATGCAACTTCATCTAAATGTCGTCTTTCAGACGTCAGACATTTGTTATTGTTTGTTGCTTCTGAGATCCCTTTCCTGTTCCTTTGTGAAGCTATTGTATGACAGATTTTTCTTGGCTGGTTGCTGTATATTTACTGTAAAGAAACCCACAGGCAGATACCTGGTAACTAGTATTCTGTGAAACCAGTGTAGTCAGTTGTAGAATTAAATCAGAGCTTTTGTTTTGTAAAATTGATTCTAAGATAATTTCAAGCACTTTTGATTTCTTTTTTTTAACACAGTGGGTTCACTGACTCACTTATTCTGATGTATTTCAAATAAAAAGCTAGTTATATTTGTGTGAGTCAGGATGAAAAGAATTAGTTGAAAGACATTCTATAAAAGGTTGTTTTTTGTTGTTTTTGTTTTTGTTTTTTTTTAAATCACCTTTGCTTATGCAGCATGAAAGTAGTATTACTTTCTAAGTGGAAGTAGAAAACTGCGGATTTGTGATTTGGATCACAGCCTCTGTATAGTATTGTAGAAGAGGTTATAATAAATTTACATCTGAGATATATTGGTAAGTTTGGAGATGAGAAATTTACTCTGTGTTTCTGAAAGCCCTTTCATTTTTCAGGGACAGGTGACTATACATGCAAAATTTGACAAAGACATTTACCTCCCAGAGGATGCTGAGTTTTACTTTGTTTACGATGGATCCCTGAAGAGGCATGTAATGTTTGCAGAGCGAGTTAGTGACAACGCTCTTCGGTCTATTGTTCCAGGTTAGTGTTCCTGTTCACATTCTTCCTCTTTTTGCTATGCCCTACCCCCATTTCAGAGCTAGGCACAACTTGACAATTTGATACAACTCCGTTTTATGGCTCTGTAATGGAGGAAATACAGGAATTGAATGATGGCCTTTAAGGATCCAGGCTGAGTTTGGCTGACTATAGGTATTCCTGCCTTTCGTAGCAATGCACACCAGCACAGTATCAGGTGTAGACAGTGTTACTGGGCTTGCACAGTTGGGTGTTCATTAAAGCGCAATCTTCGGGGATGGCATAATTTTCAGTGTGAATTAATTCTATTCCACAACTGTTTGCCTCCAGGCATCCTAACACCTGTAAAAGTAATGTTTTTGTCTGAGCCTTCCCTGGGTGCAGCAGCCAGCCTGGCTTCCAAGGCCCTTGTGGTGGAGACATGTGGTGCTTGGAGCTCAGCTTGAGCTGTAAACAGCACAGAGGTGTCCGTGAAACAGTTCCAGCGGTGCCTTTCCGCAGGTGGGGTATTTGTGTTGCCTCCCAGCTGGCCCTCTGCCTTGGTGTTGTCTCGCTCATGGATGTAACATAAACCCTGTTTGTCACCTTTATTGTGTGCTTTGTGACCTTTTCATTTGTATGAGTAGGCGGCTATAGACATGATGTACCTATGCAATAGGATCTGCTTGTTATTTTTTCCTGTTTTCTAAACCTGATTTAGAGACAGAAATAACTGCTGAGTATAAAAAGGGAGTTTGCTGCTGTTACATAGTGGCTCCTTTGATCCTGTGAATGATAAATGATTGTCATGGATTACAACTGGAGAAAATTGAATGCTAGGCTTATTCCAGGATAGCAAAGTTTTGTGGGTTTTTGGTTTGTTTTTTTTTAAGAGGCCTGAAATGACACTGTTAAATGATTGCTTCTGAGCTAGGAATAAAAACAGGAGGCTGCAAGCAACACTTAATCCTCTGCCTCGTCCCAGTAGACGCCATTAACAGATGAAAATAAAGTGTGAGGTTAAAATACAGCCCTGCTGATGTTAGTGTTGTTTCATAGTGGCCAAATTAAACATAAGGGAACACAGAGCACTTTAAAAACAGCTGCAGATGTGGTAAGTACGTGCTTCCTTCTTCAGTTACTAGATTGCATATATACTTGTAGTCATTCAGGGATATTTTTTGAAATTTAGATTTGCACCCACAGTATGTCAGGATCAGCTCTCCTGTGAGAGGTACAGCTTGCATCTCTCAGATGCATGATATCCACCATCACTTAGATGGCAAAGGTGCACAAGATGGCACAAGGCACTTAGGTGGCACAAGGTGCTTCCTTTGGACTTCGAGGGTCACAACTATAAGTCTGAGAGTTGATACAGCATTTTATCAAGCCTGCCAAAAGCATGAATCATGCATTAGTTAAAAGCTTCTAGGTTTTGGCCTACATGGAGACACCAAGTAGGTAAAAAATCGGCATTAAATATATATATTACTCAGAGTCTGTGTTGCAGGCCGCTCTGCCACTCTTTTCATGAGTATCTAATTTTTCTTAATTCTTATCCAAGAACCATCAGGGTTTTGATTTTATACTGACATGGTTCCTGATCAGGATTTTATACTGATATGGTTACCTCTTCTTTCCACTGTTGTTAAAGAACTTTCACCTAGAAAGCCTGGTCCTTGATTTAAGTATGTCAGTATAATTGGGAGGACTGGCAGTTCACAGTCTAGTCGAGTCCAAGTTCATCACCAGAAATGGTTGGTGGATGCCCTACAACAAATAGATGTAATTAGAGGAAAGAATAACATAATGATGGGTAAGTAGTCACAGCTCCTAGAGGCAGGAGGGAATGAGATAAAACTAAGGCATTTTCTGAACATAGGTATTGTTAGTGAATAATTGCATTATAATTACAGGCCATGGATGCCAAGAAGCAGTTGCTGTCTCTGTGTTAATGTACACAAGGGGATACTCACCTGTGGTCCTTGGCAGCTGTCCCGTCAGTTACAGGGAGAATCTGTCTTGCAAGTTGTCTCGCTTTCTGGTTGATCACGCAGAATGTGTCACTGCTGCTAGTCATGAGCTGTTGCTGGATAAATTTGGGCTAAGGAAAAAAGATCTGCAGTCCCTGGATAACGATTTAATGATGGCTGTTGCTTATGAAGACTTGCCATCGACCTGGAACATCCTCGGAAGCTGCTCAGAAGGTGGTAAGGTTTTATTTTCAGTTGGAAAGCTTTTAACAGTGGTTTCGTTCACAGTTCAGAGCAGGGTGTCTCACTATTTTATCCCAGGTTCTCAACCCCTGTGTTTTGTTTTGTGGTTAAGATGAAAAATGGTTCGAGAGGGGCAGTCAGAGATTTGGTTTGTGCCCAGAGGTTTAAAGAGGCTAATAATGGTTATTGTAACTCAGTCTTCCCAGAAGCTTTTTGTGCCTTCAGTCTATGTGAATGCAGTTCTTTATTTATAGACTTTGCCTTTTCAAGATTAAAGACCTGTCTGTTTAAAAAAAGCAAGAACTGTAGCAGTGAAGTATTGCTGCCATGTTTCCAACCAAGTGAGATATTTTGATTGCACAGACAAAAAGGAGATGGTCATAAAACAGAAGAATGTGTTACTGTAGGCATTGTGATGTACAGAGTTAACAAAATTTTTAGCATGGTTCTGTCAGTATTTATGCTTTATGACTATAATCGTTCTTTGGGGAGAATATCATTAAGCAAGCTTTGTGGCTTTTATTTTATTGTAGAGGAAGTGGGATGGAAATATACATGAAACTTTACATTAGGCCATGCTGTTGAAAATTTTGTAACAAAATCGGGTGAAATTTTCCTGGTTTCAGGTTTGACTGCAAACACAAAACTGTAGTTAGGTTTTTCTGAATAGTATAATTTTTTTTGCAGACCCACCTGATTTATAGTTGAGGTTGGAAACTGTTAAACTTGATGGCTTCATATGTTTTTCATTGAAAATTTGGTACTTTTGGCTGTTTTCCCTTCAGCACTTTAAATCGCTAGAAGTTGGAGGACAGGCAGTTTCCATGTGAGCCAAACTGAAAGGGAGATTCATGCAAGCTTCTGGGAAGTAAAACCACAGCATTTAGCCCATTTCTTTGGGTGAGGGCTTTCTTCCCTTCTTAAATCTTCCTAATTCTTAATGACAGATAGCTTGAAATCTGCTACTGCCTTCTTCAGGAGAAGGATGGGTTTTGTCTGTCTGTTGTAAACAGCTCTTTCAAGAGATGTAAAAACAAATACCATGTCTCATTCAAATACTGGCTAGACAGGAGAGAAAAAAAAAGACTGTTACTTGTTTTGTTTTGATGTGTAGTAAATATTTGTTCATGTTATTCAGCTGCTGGAATGGCTGCTGGATCTTAGCAATGAAGACCTTGATTCAAAGCCTGAAGAAATCAGCTATAGTTTTGTTCACAGACTTGGCTAAGCTTTTCGTCAAAACCAGCTGAAGCCCAGTGCAGAAGCATCAGCAGGATAACAATGGTACTGAGAGATGCTTTGGCAAAGCCACCTGGGTACCTACTTGCTTGAAACCTGGGGAAGTTTATGCTGGGTGTGTTGTGGGCCCAGAGGTTTGGAGATCAACTCAGCTGGTACCAGACTGCTATGCAAATAGCAAAATTCCTTAATTTTTAGTTATGTTAATTGTTAATTTTCAGATGTGCTGCAACATTTGTATGGAAAAGAGTATGTTGCCCTCATGATACTTTTATAGAAGTGGCATTTTTATGTTTCTGTGTTTTTTCCAGTCTTTGTTCACTTTTCAGATTTAAATATTATACATAAACAAAATTTGAATACAGCAAAAAAGCAGGGATGTGTGCTTCAGTCACTGCACAAAGTCTCTGTGAAGGTTTGAAATGTTACACTAACATGCTACGTTAGTGATTGCCTCACGGGCACTGTTGCACTGAAGAGGCGACATCTCCCTTTGTACCTCAGTTACTTCTCTTAAATGAAGCTATGTGCTTTCCTTGTTTCTGAATAAAAGAAAACCTAATTTGAATTTGTGGGGCTTCATAGCCACAGCGAGGAGCTCCCAGTGCAGTGCAGTCCTGCCTGGGCTGTGATTACTGGCCACCTTTCTTGAGTGGGGAGCTTCTGAAAGCTTTCTGGACAGGTTGTCCTTCAGCCCGAGGGAGGTCACTCATTCCCTTGGGCTTGGGCTGGGCCTGATATTTTTGGTGTCCTCTAAGCATTTTGTATTTTTTTTTTTTTTTTTTTGGCTCCTGTATCCTTTCTCTCTCCTTTCTGAAAACATAGTTTTGATTCTTCTTTCATACAGCTGTGTTTATTTATTTGATTCTTCTTTCTACAGCCATATTCTTCTTTCACCTGACTCTAAGAAGCACTGACTCTTGTTGCTTCCTCATGCTGTCCCCATCACTGTGTTTTTGTCCCCAAAGCCAAGAAGCCAAGCATAGTTGAGAAAGCCCTGTGCATGCATATGAAGGAGAGGGAAGGACAAGGGGGATGGACTAGGGCAGGAGGGCTTCAGATCTCAGCACAGTTGAAAAGAGGAGGAGATTGTCTTCCACCATGAGGTGATCAAGAGTTGTCCCAGCACTCCATTTCTTCCCCATGTTCCGAAAGATCAAAATGGATGGGAAAGAGAGACTTTATAAGGATTTAGAAAGAGATGAGACTTTCTTGCCCTAGCTGCTGTACCTGCAACTCTTTGCTCTAAAGGTCTGATGGTGTCTTGACACGTGACTTTTAGTATTGTGTTGTGAAAGATGTGGGTGCTATCATCCTTTACTAGTTAGGACCTCATGCTTGTGAGATTCTGTCCATTTTCAGAGCTGCTGGGCTATTTTTACTGGAAAAAAATTACTTTTGAGTGACACATGGCTTGAGAAAATTATTGCACCATCTGGTGTTCTGGACCTCATTCATTTTTATGAAGATTTGGAGACATACGGGTTGATGGAAAGATAGAAGAATAATTTATTCACAGGAGTTTTGATATTCAGAAAAAGTGTTTGTATTCCCTTTATAAGGTATAAAAAGGATTGGATAGAGAGAGGCTGGATTGTCTAGGACACCTTGCAAATAATTGAGGAATTTGGTGCAGTTGTACAGGTCAGGACTTGTTAGCCACATTGTTTAAAGTTCAACAAAAGAAACAGGAAAGCATGAACCTTTCAGTAATCCTCACTTGTAGTGCGTGCCTGTGTGACAACCATGTCAGGGGCTGCTCACTCACATGAACTGGCTGGATGTTGAGATCACCTGGCCCACAAGCAGTTTGCTGCTAGATTAAACTGGGAACCCAATAGATGTGCTATGCTCAGACATTTATTTGTTGGTGGGTTTGAAGAAAGGGGAAGGAGGGTTAGTGAGGTGGGAGTGGGAGAAGCTGATTTCTTTTTATTGCAGCTTCATAAAGGATATTTTCCTTTTGAAAACTGTATTATTCGATTTATGGAGATAATTAGTGTTAAATATTAAGCCAAATAACTTGTTAGAGCTGCTTAAAAAAATAAAAAAAAAATTCTTCCAACAGTTTTTCAGTTTACTAAGAAAAAGAAGAAAGATGGAGTGGTTTAATATGGAAAAGCAAAATGCTTCCAAGTAAACTTTCCTCTCTTAGTACCATCAAGTTAGGGAAGTCTTTTAGGAGTGTCAGCCCCCAGGGACCATCAGACATAGGTTCTTCATCTGCCTTGAAACTTTTTTGACACACTCAGACTTACACTCTTTGGCTGTTAGAGAGGGAGCACATGCACCAGAGCCATCTGCCTTACGTTCAGGAGGCTGAGGGCATCTCTGTTTCTGGTTGTTTTATGGACATTGCTGGGAGTGTGAGTGCAGGTTGTCTGGGTGATTTGGGTGTGCTGGTAATCAAATAAGAACATTTGCTGCTGGTTTTGCCACTATTAATTATTTTAAAGAGGAAGAGTGCTTTTTTAGGTTTAAGGCTATCAGCAGAAGAAATAAAATTATGACCTGAATTAGGAAAATTAATTGTGGATCATAGGGAAATATGTGTACTTGTTTAATTCCCTTTTGTGAAGAAGGAGAATTTCATTTTATTTCATAAATGCTTCATAATTCTTTTCTAGGATTGGGTCTTGTGGCATGAACTGAAGTACCCAACCTTGCTGCTTTATACTCTGTCTTTAGGGAATACTCTAACACTTTCTGTGGCATTTTTGACTTTGCTGCCCTCTCCCTGCCCTTTTCTTTGTAAATCCTGGTACTGTTTCCACTTGGTGTTAAACACATTCCAAAAAAAAAGCTACAGCAGTTTAAACGTGGCTGATGCATGTTGTATTTTTGATGTAAATTAAATACTATCTCTGTCTTTTCCTCAGTTGGAATTTTAGATTTCTTTTTTCCTGCAGAAGGAAAGGGAGAGGGTGGAAAAATCCTTGTTCTCATTCATGGAATTAGGAAAACACTGGGAACAGCAGATAGATATTTCTAGTTCTGGTAAGATTTGTGAGGAGAGGTATTATTTTTTTGGCAGTTTAGGAGGTTAGAGAAACAGACACATCTTTTGCCCTGTAGGAGTTTGCTGCTTTGGAAACTGCATGGGGCAGAGGAAAAACAGTAAAGTCTAGTGAAACTTCACCTGACCATGTAGATGGTAGCACCATGCACAGCCTTTATTGCATGGGGCTAGTGGATGGGAGCCTTCTCTAGCCTTCCTGCTGCTAAAACTGCTGCAAGACTCCTTACAGTCCACCCTTGAGGTGGAGCTTAGCCTTCCCCCATTTCCTTCTCTTCTAAAGCAGCATTGATGCCAGCCTCCGGCTGTTGGTAAAGGTCTGATGAATAGGGGAACTAATTAAAGGGGGATGTGCCAGATATTAAGTAAGTGGAAAGGGGAGATGTCATCACAGCCCTGCCCTCAGATGGGCTGTCATGCACCTGACTGTGCATCACAGCCACTGTCTATTCACAAAACCACTTGTGTGTGTTTTTGCAGCAATGAGGTGCACTGAGGACGGCTTTATAAACAATCTCATACCTAATGGAAAAACGGAAAAATGAAAAGCAGTGGATAAAAGTATGAAGCCAGGAAAAAATGGAATTTGTCAGCCAGTTTTGATGTCTCCCCCTGCTTTTCAAGTCACAAGTCTTGAGGTTTTTAGTCTCCTTCCAGGAAATGAATGAGATTCATAGCCCAGAAAGGGCTTAGTCATTTCTGTCAGAGAGAAATACTTGTTTTCAGTTTATTGTTTTGG